CCAAGGGACTGCGCAGACAGACTGGGAGCAGGAAAAATGGGTAGAGAGCAGTTTTATTTGGACCTGGAAACATGTCAGCCATCTCATACTTTTTCAGTTTAAAAAGTTTTGGGACTCATTCTTGTTTTCACTTTGTCCCTTGCCTGGAACAGAACGGTAGCTGCAGGGTGCTGGCTTCCAGGGCTTGCTGTGAGGCTGGAAACCAAAGGTCACTGAGACATTGCCCTTGCATTTAATACAAGGAAAAGAGGCCAGGCCCGTGTGACATGGATATACCAACTATTTGGGAAAAGTATGAAAGAAATTTGGCTTCACATAGCTGACTTGAGTTTGTTTTTTCCCTCTCCTGTTCAGTTGCAATAAAATTTGGGCAGTATGCTGCCTACAGACGTGTTTCACTGAAGGGAGGGAGGAGCAGCTGGGGTGGGACTCGGGTGTGGTGACAGGTTCCTGTGTCCCCTCAGCTGGAGAAGGAGTACGTGTGCCGCGTGGTGGGCGAGTTCCCAGAGCACGAGGTGGTCTGCGAGGAGCCCATCCTGGTGGTCTCTTACAAAGTGGGAGTGTGCCGCGTGGACCCCAAGGGGAAGCCCTGCAAGACCATCTTCCAGAGGCTGAGCTACAACGGCAGGAGCAGCGTGGTGAAGTGTCTGCCGCGCACCGGCCGCACGCACCAGATCCGGGTCCACCTGCAGTTTTTGGGGCATCCCATCGTCAACGACCCCATCTACAACATGGAGGCCTGGGGCCCCGAGCGGGGCAGGGCCGGCAGGGTGGACAAAACGGACGAGGAGCTCCTGCAGGCGCTGGTGGAGGAGCACCGCTCCAAGCAGAGCCTGGACGTGCTGGGCGTCTCGGAGGAGGACCTGGCCCCCGGCGCTGCAGACGGGGCCTGTGGGGATTCGGGGGGCTGTGCAGGGCCCGCTCAGGCCCTTCCTGTCAGCGACAGCTCTGCCGGGGATGCCAAGGGTCCTGAGGGGAACCACGCAGCAGCCCGTCCACTGAACTCTGATACCAGCCTGGAAACGCTTGAACGAAACAGTGACCTTGGTTTGTGTGAGAATGGGGACGGGCGGAGTGGAGAAAAGTGGGAGGAGAAGGACCCTCTGTGTGAGGAGTGCAGGGTGAGGCGGAGGGACCCGTCCCCCCAGGAGCTGGTGATGTACCTGCACGCCCTGCGCTACCGGGGGCCGGGCTTCGAGTACTGCTCCAGCATGCCAGCCTGGGCCACGGAGGGCTGGCAGGAGTGAGCGGGCACAGCTGGTAACACCCAGCGTTCACACTCTGTGTCGCCGAGCTGGACAGGCTGCCCGAGGCCTG